ATGATCTGGATGGGGAAGGGGTACCTCGTGCAGTCCCAGGGCGCGACTGGCCAGACTAGCTGGGACGTGGCAGTCTGGGAGAGGAGCACGAGCAAGAGGGCACCTAGCTGCCGGCCAACAGGAGGGCCGCGCATTGTGCAGGCAGTAGAAGCCAGCCCCCGGGGCGCCCCGGCAGCGGCCAGCGCTCGTGGGCGCTGTAATGCGTTCGTGGCGGGCGCTCACAATGAAAAGAGGCGCGCGTTTTTTGGAACGTGAACCAACGGACGAACGAGCCTAACGGACGCACGTCGGTCTTCTTTTCATTGGCCCTGAGGCCTACATGCACGCGGGTCCGTTCTGCGTCCTTTCTCTTTCTTTCTTCCCTGAGGGAATTCTTTCTCTTGCCAGTCTTCCCGTGCCACCCCGTGAGCCGTGTTGACTGTTGTGCGAGGGATTTTTGTCGTAAAAGTCTTTCTTCTTCGTAGCTGCCAACGTAGCTTGGCGTGTTGGGACTTGGCGCATGGCGGTCTCAGGCACTCGGGCCCTCCCTGTGCACAATATACAATGTATTATAAACAAACAACAGCTACAGGAACAGCAGTAGTAGTCTTCCCAAGACGCAAGAGCGAGTCAGACCACTCCCCGGTCTCGCCGGCTGTTTGCGTATTGGCTATTGGCTGCGCCCCTTTCCGCAGCCAAGTGTACCGTGATAGTGCGCGCGCAACAAATCTCAACCAGCGCTGCCGGAACCGGCTAGCTCGGACCGGTGGCAAAGTCCGGCTGCTGCGCCCCGAGCTCAGTCGCACCGGACGGCAGCTGTGCCTGTACATACGCCGGCTGCAGAGCGCCCACGGGTGCCATCGGGACTGACCCGTGCGCGCCGGCTGCAAAGGCGGGCTGGTAGAGGCCTTGCGCGAGCTGCTGTGGGTGTGGTGGCCACATCACCGCGGAAGGCACCTGAGAGGGGGGGGGGAAGAGGGGGGTAAGGGGGGATCGCCGAGGGGGCGGCGCTGCAGCGGCACCGGGGGGGGGGGGGGGGGGCCCCTCCCGGTGGGGAGGGGGGGGGCAACCGCCCCTGGCCAAATTTGGAAAACCCGGGGCCCCCCGGTGCCCTTTTGGGGGGAACCGGGAAAATTTTTTTTTTTTTTAAAGGCAGTTGTTGCCCCTAGGGTGCCAACAGGTTGGTTTTGGGCAAACCCCCCATAAGGGCGCCCCATTCCGGGGCCCCCGGCCAACCGGAAAAAAGGGGGAATTGTTGGGCCTGCCCCTGCCCCTGA